ATTTAGGCAGCAGCCAGATTTTAAAAAGTCATTTCTTACCCAGGAACGATGATATAAGTGAATGTTTATTAAGAATTTTACATGCAGGGCGCCTGGGTGGCTGAGTTGGTTAAGCGACTGCCTTTGGCTCAGGTCATGATCCCAGGGTCCTGGGATTGAGTCCCACATCAGGCTCCCAGCTCAGTGGGGAGCCTGCTTCTCCCTCTGACCCTCTCCCCTCTCATGCTGTTTCTCTCTCTCTCAAATAAATAAATAAATAAAATCTTTAAAAAAAAAGAATTTTACGTGCAAGGGAAAATATTGTTTAAAAAATGACAAGATACAGATATTTTAAAGTAAACTTAAGAAACTGTCACCAGCAGAGCTGCACTAAAAGAAATCCTAAGAGAGGATCTTCCAGATGAACGGACAGGATGCCAGATGCAGATGCGCATGCACAGGAGGAGTGAGGAGCACCATGAGTCGTAAATATGCGCATGTGTTTATAAAATACCTATTTTTTCTTCTCTGAATTTCTTTTAAAGCTAAATGATAGAATGATAGCAAATCAAAGTGGAAGTGATGATGTATGTGGAAGTAAGAGACACAGCAAGAATAGCACAAAGGGTAGGGCGCCTGGGCGGCTCAGTAGGCGGAGCGTCTGACCCCTGATTTCTGCTCAGGTCATGATACCAGGTCATGACCATGCCCTGCATTAGGCTTCGTGCTCAGCTGGGAGTCTGCTCAAGATTCTCTCTCTCCCTCTCTCTCTGCTGCTCCTTCTGCTCATGTGCATGCTTTCTCTCTAAAATCAATCATCAATCAATCAATCTTTAAAAAAAAACAGTACACAGGGTAAGGACCAGGCATGCTGAGCTGATCTGTTGTAAATTCTTACACTTGTGAAGTGAGCTGTTGGAAGGGAAACATATCAGATATGAGGTTTGAAGTGATGCGATATATTGACTCAGAGTAAACCCTGATAAAATCAGAATGTGTGTTACGATTTCTATAGCCAATGAGGAGATAAAAAAGAATAATGAAAAAAATTAACCCCAGAAAAGAAGAATATGCTCAACAAAGTAGAAGAAAATCCAAGAGGAACAAATAACAAATTAGCAGTATGTAATTAAACCCAGGGACATGAGAATTACATTAAATGTAAATGAACCAAACATTCCAATTAAAACATAGAAGTTATCAGACTGAATTAGAAAGACCCTTACTACTGAAAATATTATTTAAATATAAAGGTACAGACAGGTGGGGATTAAGAGTGGAGAATATATGTCTTATACATAGTAACCATAAAAAGGTGGCTTTGTTAATGTCTGACAAAGTAGTCTTCAAGAATGTACAAAACCAAAGAGGAATGTTTCATTATGATTAAAGTATCAACTCATCAGGAAAACATTATAATCCTAAATATGGCATGCACCTAAAAATAACAGAGCTTCCAAATACATGAACTCAAAACTGGCAGAAATGAGAAATAAACCCATCACCATATTTGGAGATTTTAATACTCTTTGTACAGAAGTTGATAGGACATGTAGATGCAACATCAGTAAGGACATAAAGGACAGAGCCAACCTTATAAATCAACTGGAACCTAACTGACTTTTAGACGGAACTACACCCAAAGCCTATAGGATGAACATGGAGCATTCACCAAGATCACATGCGGGCTTATGATGGGCTGTTTAGGATGATAAACAACAATTCTGTAATTTGTGAATTCTGTCGAAGAAATAATATGTGACCTTCACAAAGTCTTTCAGAGGATAGAGGAAGAAGACCCATATCCCACTAATTCTGCAAGGCCAGGATAATATTGATGCCAGAACCTTTCAATGATATGATAAGTAATGAACAGCACAGACAACAGCCTGCATCAATGTAGATACAAAACGGTCAACAACATATGAAAAAGTCAAAAGGATAAGTCGTCCTGAGCAGGTCAGGTATCCCAGCAATGCAAGCCTGGCCCAGTAGTCAAACCCCAAACTTAACTGACAGCACAAGGAATGTGTTTATAATATCCTCAAACTGGAGGCAACCCAGATCCTTCAGCAGGTGAATGCAAACAATAGAATACTGCTCCCTGATGAAGATGGATGATCTGCAGATACATCTCACAGACTTCCTGCTGGATGGAGCCAAATGCAAATATTTCCTGCATGGTTCTATTTATAGAAATTCTAAAAGAGTCCGAACTACAGTACCTGATCTGACAGAAATCAGATCGGCGACTGCCTCAGCTGGAGGGCAGAATTGTCTGCAAACGGGCATAGGGAATTAGGTTCTGGTGGCTTGGGGTGTATCTAAATCACAAAACTTATCAAACTGTGCATCCATCCGTACATGTAGGAAATTTATGCCTCAATACAGTTCAGTTAAAAATTAAAGGATGAATTGCAAAATCCACAATCATCCAAAGTAGAAATATGACAGCAATACCTAAAAAGTTGCTTTCAAATCTCTTATTTAAACATAAAGTATTAAAATAATATTTTTTCTTAAAAAATGACTTAACGACATATTCAGGCTTCCCGCAGAGGTGAGGATGTGGCGTTGGTGTTTTTGGCTCAGCAGCGCACGGGAGGCCCGCCTTCCCTCATTCTTAGCTCCGGCCTCTGCACTTGGGAGAATTATGGATGCCACTATCAGGCCACAGCCTCCGCTGATGCTCGTTCCTGCAGAATCAGCCCTTATTCCCTCGCAGCTGCTGCTCATTCCCACGGGGCCACCAGCTTCTCGGGCCAGGCTTTACTCTGCTTTTCGGATGGAGCCTTAGTCGTGTTAAGTAATCCTGTAAAGCGTAGGGACACTGTGTTCTCTTCCAGCAAATGCTAATAATTGCTAAGTGACATTCAAATATAGACATCATTCCAAGGGAGTTACTGAGCAAGAGAAAGTTCTCCCCACTCAAAGAATAAATAGAACAAATCTTAGTCACTTTCCAGAAGCAGAGTTTCTATTAAACAGAAAGTTCTCTGCCTCTGGGCTCAGGTGTCTGCCTTCAAGTCCCACTTTGTATCAACGGTGACCAGTAAACATTCTTTTCTGATCTACCCTTGATGATGATTATCTGCAGTAGGACCACAAGTAGGTTTTAAAGAGAGAATAGGGAAAAGATCATCAGGAAATATACAAAATGAATGATGAGGCTTGGACCGATTTTTTCTTTTTGAATTTTGTATTTCCCGAGCGTTTGGCGTGCGGTCCTATCTCCGCCGTACTCAGAGAGTGTAGCCTGAGGCGCTGTTTGTCACACTCGAGTGTATGTGCGTGCAGAGAACAGAAACACTGACGTGCACTGTGCCTGTGTGTGGCGAGTGAAATATTGGAAGGTATCTTCTTTCATCTACTTTTATTCACTTCCCCCAATTTTATAAATCTTGTATTATAAGTACTTACATGAGTTTCTTAAATGTCTCCATCCTGGCATTTTGGGAAAACAGAAGGAAGGCCTGTGAGCGCGTCACCGCAGGGACTCCCTGCAGCGGGGATGTGCCCCGCCCCACGGCCCCAGCCCTGACGCGGTGTCACCTCCCCCGGCCCCACGCCTTGGCCACACACCTCCGAGGTGCCAACTCAGCTCAGAGTCTGTCTCACAGTCACTGAGGCCACTCACAGGGAGGGTCCTCGGACTTGGTCAGTCACACACCAGGGGTTTCAGAGCGGCCTTTTCTTCTTCAGGGAATCAAACGGAGGAGGGCGTGTTTTGTGTCTCCCTGCTCTGAAGTCTGCGTCGCCCGCAGTGGGTGGCAGCTGTCCTGCAACTCCTGCCTTACGTGTGTAGGTCGCGGAGCCCTGACAGGTACAGCCCACGGTGCTCAGTTCGGCGGGTGGAAACATGCCTCGTTGCTTCTGCGAGCTACTAAGCTGATACTAAATTGGGGCAGAAATTAGAATTGAGAACTTCTGCTCTCTGCAGGAGGCATTTCCCTCAGGTGGGGTTTCGCTCCCAAGTGTGAAGCTTACACTGGGGGCACTTGAGCTTCCTGAGGAGATCAGGCTCCAGAAGGTCCACCTGGACTCACTCTGCATGTTGTTCTCATAGGATGGCAGATGTAGGCTTCCCTGCAGGGCTGGGACCTTGACTGTTGTGCTGAGACGTCTCTCTCAGCAAGAGGCGAGGAGCTGGACATCCCAGAGTGGAGAGCAAGGCACAGATGCCATGGGGAACTCCCCACCATGCCCCTTCTCCTCTGCTGGGTCCCCTGCCCTGGTCTAGGACAGGGCGTTGGAACACCCCAGACCTGATGTCTGCTGCTTACGTGGAACTAGACATTTGGAGCCAGTGGTGCTGAGTCAGGCGCTGCCGTGACCTGGCCGATGCCCTCACCCCTGCCCTGGGCTGCTTTCTTTGTCCTCGCTGTGGGCTCCACAGTGAAATGGATCAGGTGGCTGTCGCCCTCCCCGCCGCCCAGAACCCAGACAGGAACTTTGGGGGTCCTCTTGCCTAGAGCCCTCTGCCGAGTCTGCTGCTGGTGGACACCCGCCACATGGGGTCAGGTCACAAACCTGTGTGCACGGGTTCCGCACTTTCCGTGCCCCTTCCTGTCGTCTGCAGGCTCTGCACAGGAGTGGCCTGCTCTCCCTGCCCACCAGCCTCACACTGTGCCCACACCCACCAGACAGTGTGGCCTTGTGACCTGGACATTGTGAATGTGACCAGTACAAGTAGATACTGTCTCTTGGACCCAGAGTCGCTCTGCTTTGACACTGGAAGTCGGGGTAGCCCCTCCTGCCTCCTGGGCTCAGCACCTGTCTCCCCATCTCTTCCCCTTTGACCTTCCTCTTTTGTGCCATATTTTGTCAAAAAAAAGAAATAGTTTAAATTCACATAGAAGTGCACTTATTTCTTTCTAGGTCTTTGAGGAAATTATCACATGCTTTTTTAACAGTTGAAATGTATCTGATGTGAATTGGACAGGGCACGGTGTTGGTCCTGCCCTATATTCGGTGCCTTCTCACTGACTCTGTGACTGTTGGCTCTCCTTTATTTTGTACAGGCTCCATCATCACCTTCCTCGCCTGTAGCTAACGAACCAAAGTATGAGAAGCGCTGGCTAGACACCCTGTCAATTCCTCTGTCTATGGCTCGAATCTCAAGGTACAAGGCTGGAGCGGAGAAATTAAGGTGTGTGACCACTGTCTGAAAGGGCAAAAGCTCATGAACCCCATTCACGAACCAGTTCTTAGGAGTCACGGGGTGCTCCAGAGTATCTGGGTGCGGTTGTCTTTGGGCAGATTGATGAATACGATGTAAGTCGGGCGTCGGAAGAAAACAGTGATGGGAGCAGCAGTGGGTTAATTATTAGCACGCGTTCTGTCCAGGGGCGACGTGACTCTCATTAGTCCTTTTGAAACATAGTGATTAGAAGAAATTGTGTATTCAGTGATAAACATTCACAGAATTTGATTGGAAACAAGACTGCATTTTTGTCCGAGGAGCAAGCGGTTTCAGAAAAGTCATTTAAACTCTGTGGGCCTCATTGTCGTCATTAATAAAATGAGAGGCTAGACCAGCATCCATGTTACATGACGCTCACTAGTTTTTGAGCGTGGTTAATTAATCAGCTTCAGAGATCCAAAGCGTGTCATCTGTGGCTGCCAGGGTCCTGTGGAAAGGCCAGCGAGTAAGTAGATGGTGCGGTTGTTTCCAGCTGTAAGACACGCGTGCAGAGAACTGTGTGAGCCGTGCATCGCTCAGCAAGGGAGGAGTTTGCTGGTTTGAAATCGAGCACTGTCCTTGATTAGACGTGTGTGCATGCCTGCATGTGTGTGCACCTGCCAGAATGTGCACCCACGTGGGTCCACACCTGCTGTACATGGGTGCCTGTGTGTGCTCGTGTGTGGCATGGGGGAGGGGAGAGGCCTGGGGTCTCTTCCTTCAGTGAAAGGGAAAGCCTGTCTAATAATGCTTTTGATGAATGGTTATAATTGGATTTTCAGGATTAACTGACATTAGCTACACAGCCTCTTACAGGGAATGTGCACACCTGTGACGGGGTCCTTATGACACCATAGCATGAACGGCACCTCAAAGTTTGGGTTTTAGATGTGTGGCCATCTTTGGAAAAGGTCAGTAGCCATGAAAAGTCAAAAGGTGGGAAGAGACGGATGGAAATGTGGATAGATAGATGACAGATAGATGATCAATAGGTAGACAGGTAAGTAGAAAGGTAGGTAGAAGGACAGACACAGAAGTAGGTAGGTGGGTAGAGATAGATCAACAGGGGGCCACCCATGTGCAGAGTTCATAGTAACAAAAGCAGCCAGTGTTCTTATGGCCACAGATCCCTGGTAAAATGTGCCTGTGTGTGGTTTTCTTACCACCTGTTTCTTGGTTGAAGCTGGTTTATTTAGGAGGTGAGTAGGGACTGGGGCTCATGCTCTTTGAGCTCTGCCTACCCCTGTGTTTGAATAAATGGCTCTTGGAAAATTAGGACCACTGAATGTCACCAAGCACCTGCTGGCCAGCCTCTCTGCTGTCTCTCTCGAGGAAGGGAAGACGCGGACCAGCTTCTGGTCGGAGGGTCAGTGTGCTTGTTTCTCATGGGTGGTGCCCCCAGTGACGTCCGCAGGTGCACAACAAAATGCCCCTTCACGGAGCATAGGGTGACGTCACCAGTGATGATACCTGCCCATGTCTTACTAGCCAGGTGGCTGCCTGAGGTGCTGAGACGGGTCTCCTTCTTGTCAACAAAGAACCCACCCATCAGGCCACGGGCTGGCGCCCATGGTGATGAGCACAATGTGCCTACGGGATGGCACACGGCCAGTGCCTGCCACTCCACCCAGGTCCAGTGGGAATGCTGCTGAGCCTGCCAGCACACTGGAAGCCCTGGGACGCCTCATGAGACAAGAGCATGTTGTTTCATGAAGGCGCTGGGTCTTTAAACCCTGCTGACATCTTCTTGATTTTAAGCAAGGTGTTAATATGGGCAGGAAGGTGCAAAATAGCAAAATATTGAATCGGGACTCAAACTTCATTTTATAAAACCTGTTTGTCCTGACACTGCTGGTGTTAATGCCCACGTTTGGGGGCTGAGAGGAGCCATGAGGCCCGCCTTCCCTGGAAGACCCTCTGGTCCCGTTTTGACCTGAACAGATAGGATCCAACAGTTCTGCTGTATTTTCTCCCAAAGGAGAAAGTGGGGAGTATAAGGAACATGTTCAGAAAACACCAGTTCTAAATCAAAGTGTATTCTTTTTATAAAAATTAATTTCAGGTTGAACCATTTTGTAAATCTTGAACAAATGTAGCCTGGGAAGGGTGTTCAGGACGTGTCTCAGAGCAGATCAGAAACACGGGGTGAGGAGGTAGGAAGTCCGTTGCCAGAGGCCCCGCTGCCATCTTTGGTGGGGGACCCCCAGGGTCTTTTCCTCCAGGATTTCCCCCAAAGTAATTGGCTCAGTAATGGTTGAGGTTCCTGAATTTCCTGAAATTTTTTTGGAAGATTCTTTATTGAGTGGATGCCAATGTAAACCTAAGTCATTTGAAGTATTTGAGGATAAAACACCGGCTGTCACAGGGGGACTGCTCTCATTCCCTGTGGCCCCCACCGCCTGCAGGACGGCTCCGCCGGAGGCTCTGCTCTGCTCATGGTCAGGGGCAGTGGCAGTGGTGTGGGTCAGAGGCCAAGCAGGAGCCGTGCTCATAGGTAGATTATCGTCCCCGTCGGTGAGGACTGAATCGTGGGTCATCGTCCCCGTCGGTGAGGACTGAATCGTGGGTCATCGTCCCTGTCGGTGAGGACTGAATCGTGGGTCATCGTCCCCATCGGTGAGGACTGAATCGTGGGCTGCACAGTAAAGCATGGTTCAGAGTCTCATGGAGAATCGTGTGGTTTGGCCGCTGGGTTAGTTGTTGACACGTTTCCCCAACATCACGCGGAGAAGAGCATGGCCGCTGGCAGGCTGATGGTTGTGAAGAGGACTTCGAGTCACCATCTGCTGTCCTGTGACCAGTGAGTGCACCCACCAGCCCGAGTCCTGGTCTGTGATGGCTCCCACATGCCGGCGTCTGGCAGAGGGGCTGGCCACATGCTCTGTCCGGCCTCACTGGGCTGAAATCCAGCTAGAGGCCGGCTGGTCTCGCCTGCGGTTGGGAGCCTCTTCAAGCCTCGTTCAGGTGGTTGGCAGAATTCAGTTCTTGAGTTTGTAGGACCCCAGGGCCAGGGCCGCTGTCACTGCTGAAGCCCACCCACGTTCCGTGCCATGTGTCCCCACACCTGCCAGGCAGCACCAGGTTTTCAGTGCGTGGAACCCTGACTTCTAGTCACCGACCTCCAGACCCCAGTGTGAAGGGATCGGTTGGGCCCACTGATTTCAGACCCCTTCCAGCGGCACCTCAGTCTGTGTCTGAGGAAGCTGTGTGACCCTCGGTTGCTGTTCTAGAATCTGCCTGCAGCGGCTGCCCCACCAGCCTGTCACCCTGGCAGCACACACATGTCTGGATATGTCTTAGGTGTGTATCCTCTAAATATGCCATTGGCTTGGTTGTGCTTTCACCCGGTACCTTGGGAAGGATGCTGGTTTGGGATCCCAGCACCCAGACTTGAGTCAAGGTGTGTGTGTGGTGGGGGGTGTAGAGAGAAAACGCAGAGAACAGAGAGTCACCAAATGCTTGCAGAATGTCCAAAATCATCCCAATGTGAGGAAGCTTCCTGAGATCACTGTGGAGAAGGCACTATAGAGCACGGGCTCTCCAGGACGAGGAGAAGCTACCTGACTGCCAGGGAGGCACACTGCGCACGGGAAAGAGCCCTGGGTCTGGAATCAAGGTAGAGCCCTTTGCCTGTGCCTTTCCAGAGCCCCGCGGCTTCACCCAGTGAGGCTGTTTCTGATCTTGTCCTTGTCTGTTTGAACAGGTTTGGCAGGAGAAGATGTTAACACTTCACTGCTTCCTGAGATTTTGTGCAGGTAACATAAAATAAAGTTGTAGGTTTAAAGAAGCTTTGAAGTATACCTAATGTAGGGTTACAACAGTTTCTAAATTTTTGGAATACGACTGCCTAACCTGAAGGAAGAAATTCACAGTTTGAGTGATTATCACCGAAGAAGAGCATCAGATAATCCAAGTCTGCGTCCCACGCTCAGTCTGCACGGCTGGGCTCTCCCAGGATGTGACTTCCTGGGGTCCCACTCTGGCTCAGTGTGCGGTGGGGCAGCTCTCCCAGGGCATGGCTTCCTGGGGTCCCACTCTGGCTCACTGTGCAAGGGGGCTCTCCCAGGACGTGGCTTCCTGGAGTCCCACTCAGACCAGCCTTTTCCATACCCCTCGTTTGATGTTGGCCTCTAAAAGAGTAAGAGTTGTTGATCTTGTTTATTTTACTGAAACACAGAAACAAGGGAGGAGGGGCAGGAGGAGGGAGGGAACTTTGGGTTTTCTGTCCCACTTCTGTTGAGTTTTTGAAAATAACAGTGGAGGGACACCTGCGTGGTTCAGTCGGTTAAGCTCAGGTCATGATCTCGGGTTCGTGGGATTGAGGCGTGTGTGGGGCTCCATGCTCAGCAGGGAATCTGCTGGAGATTCTCTCTCCCTTTGTCCCTCCCCCTGCATTCTCTTGTGTTCTCTCACATGCTCTCTCTCTCAAATAAAATCTTAAAAAAAGAAAAGAGTGAAGTGATGTCTTACCTCATACAGCACGACTCCATTGTTCTTCGTAGAAGATGACCTTACTTTAGAAGAAAGCCCATCAGGGGCCGGATGGGCTTCACCATGGTCCTGCTAGAGCTGACACACTGTAGATACCAACATTTTGAAAAGTGATACTACCTGTCAAAATTACCCCGCTAAATACTCTGACTTATTTTGCAAAGGCTGGTCATGTTTAAATATTCATACCAGAAAAGGACTTGTCTGGTAATTTTCTGTCGTTGAGAACCCTAAAGGCGCAGCCTCATGGTGCCTGAGCTGTGGTTGGGCAGAGTTGGGGAGACCCTGTCTGGGGTGGGTAGGCATCTCAGTAAGGGGAGCAGCTTGTACAGGATGTGGATGGAGTTGGTGGTAAGAGGGACGGTCAGGAACTCAGGGTCTGGTCTGCATGGGTGCTCGGAGGTTGGGCTCCTGTGGTCGTCGTTAGGCTTCGTGTTTGTCCAGGAGGATGGTGGACAGTGGGAAGGATGGGCCAG